ACACCAGCTTTGTGTGAAGCTTTGGCACTGTAGGCACTGATAATCCACAGCCGTAGGAGCTTCTAAGGATTTTTCTGTAGCTGGTTATACTTTTCATCTTCCTTCACTCAGAAATGTAGGTTGTTGAAAGTGTTGAATGTGTGTATGTATGTGTTGTATAATTAAATTTTTGAAAGTCAGTGCCTGCATCTGAGGCCAAGTCTCTCCCCTCCTCTCCCTCCCTCTACACCCCAGCCCATTCTCTGTCTCTATTTAAACTCAGAGTGGAGCAAAAACTATCTATAGGGTATGGTTTATGCAGATTTTGAATATAGTTATGGGCTTGGTAAAACATCTGTGTTTGTTACTGCACTGTTCCATTCTAAGACTTGGAAGCACTTCCTGTCTTTGATACTTTCCATGATAATGGAAACTGGAGCATGGGGCATGTTTTCACAGATAGGTGACTAGTGTTGTGATATATATGCAAATATGACTGATGGCGATTGTGTCCAAGAAAGAAATGTTTTATATCACACAGTTGTTTAGTTGTAGTGAACCAGTTGCAATCATGTTTGGCTCTTGTATTGGTTTTGAAAGCAACAGCTTGAAGTGAAGATGGTTGCTAAACAGCTACAAACACCTCACTTTTCCAATCTGAAAATAAGACATGGATTTTCATGCTACTTATATTGTTGGAAACGTGTAATATAGTAAGAAATACCAACCCATGTTCCTGTGGATGTTTGGAAATAAATATGAAAGGAACAATAGTCGTTCACCAATCTCTTTCGACAGCTGTGTACTTAAATCCATATATGACATGGCAAATTTCATTGATTTACATGTGTGCCCGGTCAAATAGCATAACATCCTGCAAATGCATAGTGAATTTCCACATGTCTGCTCTCAGGCTCATGCCAGTTTAAGCTCACTGCTCATGATATGAGAACAGGAAGGTAATTTTAATGTATCTTTGATTAATAAGGGCTCCTTTGCTCATTCAAAAAAAAAGAAGAGCTTGGGGATTCAATATATGTAACTTGAGAAAGACAAGGTGTGATATTTGTAAGGGAAGGAAAGCACATGGAAGTCAGAGACTCCATCCTTTCAGCTAATCCTTGCCTCTTCTGCTCATGAGAGCTTGGTTAAATGGATGATGTTGCCCATGCAGGAACAAGACAGCAGGTCAGGAAAGTGGAAGCAAAAGAGATGAATTCTAATTGATACAAACACAAGTTCATGACACTTGAAATGTATTGCCTACTGTCATTTTTCAGTTTAAATTGGCTGGTGGGTATAAATGCATTGAAATGGGTTGGTCAGTTTGATTTATTAGTGCACCATGTAGCATAAACTCAGTAGAAATTCATTCACTCCAGAAAGGATATATATCTTAATTTCTTTCTTTCTTATGTGCCAGCTTCCTGTATAAAGTACTTTTTGGCCCAATATATTTTAAACAAATATTTATCCCTACCTAATTCATAATGGACCTTAACATTACAAATCTAACTTTCAGTCATATAAGCACAAAAGAGTGTGATGTATGGATATTGCTAACTATGCTAAAATAGTTCAGTTACATCTAAGGATGAGATTTCAGGCAAATTAATATGCTTGTTTAATATTTATATACTTACTGTATAGATTTCAGGCAAATTAATATGCTTGTTTAACATTTATATATTTACTGTATATTTAGCTTTTAAATATTTACCTTTTAAATACTGTATTTTTATTGATGTAAGCCACCTTGGGTCCTTGTTTTGGAGAAAGGTGGAGTAAAAATATTTGAAGTAAATAAATTATACATAAATAAAAATGTTGTTTAATTGGGAACACAAGCAAATAACATGAGTATTTGTATATACAGTTTAGAAATTGGATGGGAAAAAAATTTCACCTGAACACAAGCAAATAACATGAGTATTTGTATGCCATACAGTTTAGAAATTGGATGGGGAAAAAAATTTCACCTGGTATATTAGATTCCTTGTAGACTGGTTGTTCTATCATAATGTAGAAGATGCAGAAGATAGCTGCTTTATATCATCTATGTTGTTTATTTCTAATTAACTGCCTGATTTGGGAGAAAGACTAAACCACAGTTTAGAACCATGTGAACAAGCCCGTATTTCCTTGTTCCCTTTCTTCTTCCAGTATGGACATGGAAAAAAAACTGGGAAGGCTTTCTTTTCTGTTTCTGAATGTTCTTATATCTGACAGTGACAAACTGTAGTTTAGTCATATCATGGTTTATTGAAGCAAGCGAGGGCTACTAAGCAACAAGTGATAAGGCACAATAAATTCAAAAAGAAAAGCAGATGCTTTCAGTCTCCTTGCAGCTCTGCCAGGGAAGGAGAAGGTAGTAGAGAGCAGATAACTCTGACCCTGCAGTTTTATAGGGCATGGAAGAAGACTTCTGTAAGAATAAAATGCCAGGTCTGATTTCCTAGGGAGACTCTTTTGGCCTTCAGGTCTTTCTTTTCTGTCATCTTAACCTGAACATCTAGTGTTACTTTCATTCTCAGGCTTGGATGTCAGGTCTCCAGCTACGTAGAAATTTCTTTAGCTTGACAGAGAACCTAAAGTCAATGTTTATACTGTATACAAATCAGGCAAAAATACCTTTAAATAATAAAGCCAGCAATTTGTAGAAGGTTGGGCCTTTACTTTATAGTGCCTCAGATGCTTCAGTTCTTTGCTGTGATAGTTCCTCATCAAACTGCCTAATGAGCAAAGAAAACCCTGGCTAATCAAACCAAACTCACATGGACCTCTTAAGTGATGAACTGTAATGTTTTTTGTAACAATCCCTAATTTGACTGTACATACTGCTATTCTCAGGACTGTTGACTATACCTGAGTGACTGTGACCACTCCTGGCATTGAAGTTGTTCGTTTAGTCGTGTCCAACTCTTCATGTCCCCATGGACCAGAGCATGCCAGGCCCTCCTATCTTCCACTGCCTCCCGGAGTTGGGTCAGATTCATGTTGGTTGCTTCGGTAACACTGTCCAACCATCTCATCCTCTGTCGTCCCCTTCTCCTCTTGCCTTCACACTTTCCCAACATTAAGGTCTTTTCCAGGGAGTCCTCTCTTCTCATGAGATGGCCAAAGTATTGGAGCCTCAGCTTCAGGATCTGTCCTTCCAGTGAGCACTCAGGGTTGATTTCCTTTAGAACTGATAGGTTTGTTCTGCTTGCAGGCCAGGGGACTCTCAAGAGCCTCCTCCAGCACCACAATTCAAAGGCATCAGTTCTTCGGCGGTCAGCTTTCTTTATGGTCCAGCTCTCACTTCCATACATCACTACAGGAAAAACCATAGCTTTGACTATTCGGACTTTAGTTGGCAAGGTGATAGCTCTGCTTTTTAAGATGCTGTCAAGGTTTGTCATCGCTTTCCTCCCAAGAAGCAGGCGTCTTTTAATTTCGTGGCTGCTGTCTCCATCTGCAGTGATTATGGAGCCCAAGAAAGTAGAATCTGTCAGTGCCTTCCCCTTCTGTCAGTAGAATCTGTCAGTATCTTCCCCTTCTATTTGCCAGGACGTGATGGGGCCAGTGGCCATGATCTTAGTTTTTTTGATGTTGAGTTTCAGACCGTTTTTTGCACTCTCCTCTTTCACCCTCATTACAAGGTTCTTTAGTTCCTCCTCACTTTCTGCAATCAGAGTGGTGTCATCTGCATATCGGAGGTTGTTGATATTTCTTCCGGCAATCTTAATTCCGGTTTGGGATTCCTCCAATCCAGCCTTCCGCATGATGTATTCTGCATATAAATTAAATAAGCCGGGGGACAATATACAGCCTTGTCGTACTCCTTTCCCAATTTTGAACCAATCGGTTGTTCCATCCAGTTGTTCCATATGCAGTTCTAGAACCAATCAGTTGTTCCATATCCAGTTCTAGTTGTTCCGTATCCAGTTCTAGGCATTGAAGTACTGTAATTTAAAAGCTCTGAGCACAGACTTATTCCATTAGTGCTAAATAGAGGCTTAGTTCTTCTTATTGAGGATATTTGTGTTACTAGAATCAGAGACTTTATTTATCTTTTGAATTTGATAAGCACATATTACAGTACACTCCATATTTATATCTGGGTCTTGTGAAGACTTCTGCCAAGCTACTGTCTGTGTTAATACAGGGTGTTGTAGTGAAGCAAGATCAAAGGTGGGATATTGTAATTTATCAGAGATCCTTCAGCTTAGCTAGCATGATTTGTTCATATCTGTAGTAGCATAGCTTTCACACTTGGTTGTTTGAAATACACATATTGTTTTTCATTTTCTATGTATGCTATTTTGAAATGCTAGTTTATCAATACAGGGATTGATTAATTTATTGTTTTTCATTTTCTATGTATGCTATTATGAAATGCTAGTTTATCAATACAGGAATTGATTAAATTTCTTCTGCATATGTGGATACTTGCTGTTCTGTTTCTCCTGTCTTACAAGTATGCAAACACATTTGGCCCTTCTGTGCAAACAAATCTCAATTCTTGTTGCAGCAAGCAAGCACCACAACATTGATGAACAATAATAATAATCCATAATAGATGAATTTCTGTATCAAAATGCTATATCAGTCACTAGGAATGTACCTTGATTCGCTTTAGGCACAGGAGAATGATACTGAGGGAGTAATCTTCAGGAGCAGTGGAGAAAGAGGAATGAGAATATTTTAGGATCTAAAGCCTAAAAGAAAAGGCATTATTCATAGAGAAATGTAAAGCTATTCAATGAGATTTCTTCGTACATCTCTAATTTATAGTTTGTAAATATTGTATACTATTATTTGATAGGAGTGGTGTGAGAATATTCGTATATTCTAAATCCAGTGTGTATTGTCAAGTAATTTAGTTCATCTAAAGGGTTTTGTATTGCAGAAATAATGTCTACTGTGTATATGTATAATACTGAAAGGGATCTAGATATGATAGGAAGTCTCCGTTCTTATTTGGAATGAACACATTGTAAATTACTGTCTGGTTTATTTATGTATGCTTGATTTTATAGGGGAAGATCCTGAAGCAAGAAGAATGAGAACAGTAAAGAATATAGCAGATCTGAGGCAAAACTTGGAAGAAACTATGTCCAGCCTTAGAGGAACTCAGATAAGCCACAGGTACCATTTACTAATGGGGTGGATTATACTGTAATGATAAATCATCACAGGTGGAAACTTCTGAAAGGCATCTTGCAAAGAGAAACCTCAAACCTGTGGACCTAGTTTTGTTCATCCAATATTTTTGTCATCAGAACTATCTCTTTAGCAGGTCCCTAAATGTACTTGGATTTTTGCTTTTTCCTTTCCTTTAGGAAGAAGGCTGGTAAGAAAGGTACTACAAAAACAGTGGACAGTACCGCGGTGCCTCGCTTAATGATTACCTCATTAAATGACAAATCCACTTGATGATGAGGTTTTTGTAATCACTTTTGCGATCGCAACTCGCAACACAATGTTTTAATGGGTAAAATTCGCTTAATGATGATCAGTTCCCTGCTTCGGGAACCGATTTTTTGCTTAACGATGATTTTGAAACCGCTGGTCGGCCGCTCTCAAAATGGCCGCCGGCTGTGCAAAATGGCTACCCGCTGTTTTTAGGATGGATTTTTCACCAGAGAGGCACCTGAAAATGGCCTCCCTATGGAGGATCTTCGCTGGACGATTAGATATTTAGCCCACTGGAACGCATTGAGCGGTTTTCAATGTGTTTCAATGGGTTTTTTTCCCCGCTTGGCAACAATTTCGCTTTACAGCGATTTCACTGGAATGGATTAATGTTGTCAAGTGAGGCACCACTGTACTAATTGAATTTAAGGAAACTGAAAGCTCTGAAAGAAATGTTTGTAAGCACATAGAAGCAGAGGTTTATCATAACTGTGGTTGTTATGGTTTCACTGAATTAGTAGAACTATAACAGAATTTGTAGAATTCTGTAGGAATGGTAAATATTTGTTTAAAAATGAACAGAATTAATTGGGAGAAGTCCTATGCAGGCTATGGAATGTGATGGCACTGCAGGTTAAACCACAAAGCCTCTGGGCTGCAAAGTCGAAAGATCAGCAGTTCAAATCCACGTGACGTCACTTCTCCCAGCTCCTGCCAACCTAGCAGTTCGAAAGCATGTAAATTTGAGTAGATAAATAGATACCACCACAGTGGGAAAGTCACGGTGTTCCGTGTCTAGTCATGCTGGCCATGTGACCATGGAAGCTGTCCACAGACAAAACGCTGGCTCTACAGCTTTGAAACGGGCATGAGCACCACCCCCTAGAGTTGGACACGACTGAACAATTGTCCTATGTAGGCATTCGCTTCTTTATAGGGATTTGAATCCTGCCTTGTCTCATCCTTGCAAGGTTGAGAATTCATACTCCTCTCACTTCTTATTTCTTGTGGCAGGGATTCTTAGGATTTTTGATCATTTTCTTGCAGTGGCAGAATGATATTTTGCACAATGGAGTACACATTGTTGTGCAATGTTTCCTATTTTTTCAACAAAATTGCCTGGCTCAGAGAATTCAGATGGTTGCTGTTTTTAAAAATGTGAACTGCCGGATGTGTATTTGACATCTTTCTTAACAGTCCTTACCTATTCATGACATGTGTTTTACTACTAAAATAGAAAGGATGGCATAGACATTTTGCCCAAATTACAGAGCATTTGAAGGATTTTTGTCTTGCTCTTGGCTGGAGGGTAGGGAATCTTACAGAGCTTTAAAATTCCTTGTCATGGTGTCACAAAGTATCAAACCAGCCCAAACTATTGAGAAAAATGAATTTAGCAAGTATTCTTTCTATTCCTTCTACAGCAGTGGTCTCCAACCTTGGGCCTCCAGATGTTCTTGGACTTCAACTCCCAGAAATCCTGGCTAAGAGAGGTGGTGGTGAAGGCTTCTGGGAGTTGTAGTCCAGGAACATCTGGAGGCCCATGGTTGGGGACCACTGTTCTACAGTATGTGGAAATTTGTTAATTCTGAAAACAAATTCCTCAAACAATTCAGATTCAAATCAGAGACAAGTTTGGTCACGAAACAAGCTGACTTGTACATCGTGCCTGAAATCCAAGATCCTCTAGATCTTGATCATTTTAAGAAAACTGACAGCCTCCTTCTTCCTTCCCCCGCCCCCAGCACTATAAAAAACTTAATTTTGGAGGATTCAGAGAACCACAGTGTTGGAAGAGACCTATAAAGCTATTGATTAGAAATCCACTGGAACAGCTTTTAGATGCTGTTAAGAGACAGAAGGAGACAAAAGGAAAGAACATCGTGCCTGAAATCCAAGATCCTTTAGATCTTGGATTTTGCTGTTTATTCTCCCATCTTGACTATATTATTATTGTAGATTTTAAATGTTGTTTTAATCTGTTTTTGTGTTTAATACATTGTGAGCCTCCCTGAGTAGACTTTTGTCTAGAAGGGCGGGATAAAAATCCAATAATAAATAAAATAAATAAATCCAAATTCCATTGCTTTTTGTATGCAAAAGTATACCACTGGATCTTGGCTGCTATTATTATTATTTGGGCATTCTTTGAAAGTCTTTTTTGTGATAGCTATGCCCACTGCCATATCCCATGGCATCAACTAGCATATTATACTGCTGTTTCATCTGGATATACCATATCATCATCATAGCATGTTTTAGTAGAATTGGCACTAATATAGAACATCTCTATGTAAAGAGAAGATAGGGAAAAAAGTGGAACCTGTCCTATGGAGGCACACGGAGAAGTATATAAGCACCATGTATATGTGTGTGTGTGGTGTGTTACAGTTGGGGACTACAATGCTAAAAGTCTATGGTGGAAACAATATGGCACCATAGAAGAGAATAGATTTTGGGGGAGCAGCAAACAAGCAAATTAGAGTAATGATGTTTATGACTCTACTTGTTGCCTAAGTATCTTTAGAGATCACATTTGTTGAAACAAAGCATGTGTTAAAACAAAGCAGGTTTAAATTCTGAGATCACGAAAAAGCACCAACAAAATACTTTATTCTAATTACATATTTGTAGTTGGGTATATTTTACTAATTCACTCATCAAAGAGCCATCTGCATTTTTAAAAGCCCATTCTACCTATTGGTAGCAAAAATTTGATTTAGTGCCAGCAACATACTGTGTCGTGTTGTAATTATAGCTGCTGCCATGTGTCTGTTGCTGATAACGTTGTTCAAAATAACCTATATAGGGTTTCAGATGAACATATGAAATATTATTGATTTCTCTGGTTAGCTTTTATTAGAATTTCGAAAATGTCCAGACCAGTAGGACATGGTTTATGTTGTCAAATTCCTATCATGGTATACATCCATCCCTATTTGAGAATCAGTTAGTAGTATGGCTCTGCATGGAAGATCTGCCTCATGGTGATTAGGGAATTGTCTAGATTTGGACAGACATAATGCTTCATCTTTAGTCCAGCACAGACGCCCATATCACCTTGGTTTTCAAAGCTCTATCAACCCACTGAATACAATAGAAATGCTAAATGCCTATAATTTTCTTTTGGCAGAAAGCAATGAGATTGACAGTAGATTCTTCTAAGAAGGTGAAGTCTGTCAGCTGTCACACTAATATACAAACTTTTTTGTGCATACAAAGAATGCCTTTACAGTTTATAAAAAGGAATTTCTCTCTTGTGATTTTTGGAAACCATTGGCTATGTTATGGCCATGTCTTATGATGAATAGAGCCATTCCACATTTCTCACTCTGGTAACATTGGAATGTATGCATGGTATTTTCCAGTTCTATGTGTTCAGGTATGAATGGGGTCTGCATATTTAAGATCCAACATACATTGGCTCAAATCATGATGATGTTTTCCAGATTTTTTTCTTCATGCTAATTGTGCCAAATAGGTACGTACGCTGGATGTATATATGTTCATCAAAAAGGCATCCAGTTGTGACAGGATGTCCAACATGTTATGGGATGGATTTGGACAGGTATTATCCCATCAAGCCTGCTGTTTCCAAATGACTCTCGTCACAATTATTCCCCCATGGACATGATCAGCTATTTCAAATGACATCCTGAGTTTGGTTGTTGGAAGGGAAATGCACCTCTTTGAAGTCTGTTTCCATGGACTTCCTCCTTTCCCTACTTTTGAGTCTACTCCATGCTACTTTTTAAAAAGGAGGAACTGAGTCATATTTTAAAATGGATGCATTTTTGTGAAGTTTTCTAATTGTTTTCTACTTCTCTGCATCCACCATTGACTACACTGAAAGTGTATGTAGTTTTCAGTGTGTACCTTTTTCATATGTGCATTTCATTAGACACAATTTTCTAAGATCTGAAATGTGCATATTTCTGATACACAAATGTAGCGTAAATTGAAGAACTGGGGTTTGGGTTGGGATGGGGATCCAGCAAACTGGATTCCTTATACAGTATATCTCTAGTGAAGAATTCTAAATCTGGTAAATCAGAGGAAATCTGCAGATGAGATGTGTCTGGAATGGATTTCAGCAAGGTTTTCAGCAAGCTCTATATGGACAGGCTGGTAAAATGTGAGCTAGACAATGTTAGTGTTAGGGAGGTTGAGGGATAGTACTCAAAGAACACTTAACAATCGTTCCTTGTTATCTTAAAGAGAAGTAATAAGTCAAGATGACTTGGATGAAAGAGTATAGCAGATGCTCATCAAATTTGCAGGTGGCGCTAAATTGGGAGGAATAGCTGGTACTTCAGAAAACTGAAACAGAATTCATGGTTATCTTAACATATTAAAGAACTGTGTCACAGCAACTCAAATGAATTGCAATCGGGATAAATATAAAGTTCTAGACTTAAGTAGGAAATACCAAATGCACAAATATGGATTGGGTAGTAACTGGTTTGTTGATAGCATGTACAAAAACAAATGTAGGGATCATGGTAGACCACAGGTTAATAATAAATCTGCAGTATCATGCCGTGGCCACAGGAAAATAGGGGGAAAGCTTATGTAATGCTAGGCTGTAACAACAGGAATACAATATTCAGACTAAGGGATCTATTCTGCATTGATCAAGCCTAAGCAGGAATACTGGGTCTCGTCTTGGGCATCACTCTTTATAAAGGACATCAACAAGCTGGAACATATCCAAACGAGGGCAACCAAAATGGTAAAGAGTTTGCAAATCAAGATCTATAAAGAAGTTAAATTACCTTTAGCCTCAAGAAGAAGAGATTTTGAGGCAGTACAATTACCATTAGCTATTTGCAAATATTTGAGGTATGGTTGTTAAATGGCACCTGGACAAAGCTTGTTTTCTGTGGCTTTATAGCAGTGGTTCCCAACCTTGGTAACCCAGGTGTTATTGGACTACAGCTCCCAGGAATCCTAGCCAGCACAGCTAGTGGTGGAGTTTGCTGGATGTTGCAGTCCAAGAACGCCTGTGTTATCTAAAGTAGGACACTACTACTGTAAAGGGCGGTTCTTGACCCAGGGGATGCAAATTACAAGGAAATTTGGACTAAATGTTAGGAAGAACTTCCTGATAGTAAGAGCTGTTTAGGAATGAAATGGCTTCCCTTTGAAAGTGGTGGCGTCTCTTTTGCTGGAGGGTTTTCAACGAAGGTTGGATGGCCATTTGTGAGTGATACATTAAGTGGATTTGCTGCACAGATAGGGGACTGGATTAAATAGTTTTTTCTTACTCTGCTGTTCTATGATTCTGTGATTATATAACTGTAAGGCTTAAAAATCAATTTAGAATGCAGTGAGAAATCATTTTCTATTTTATTTTTTCATATATTCACATGTTTTCATCTAAAAGCCTATTCCCATTAAGAACATGAAAGTGTGATAAAGCCTTGAATGACAGAAAGGTCTTGATATATTTATTTACACACCCATTTCTTTGCCACCTTTCAGCACTGCAAGAAAATGTGTACATAAGTCAGTGTGATGCCTTCAAAAATAGACTTCATTTTTCATAAGCTTTTTTTAAAGTGCAATTTTATTCTGCCTTTTTTTCCCCTGTACCTAGAAGTATAGAAAGCACAGTTCATCAGTTTTTGTTTTGCTTGACAGCACATTGGAGACAACATTTGACAGTACTGTGACAACCGAAGTGAATGGGCGAAGCATTCCAGGCTTGACGAGTCGCTCCTCTCCAGTGACCTGGAGGCTTGGACAAGCTAGTCCTCGTCTCCAGGCAGGTGATGCTCCTTCCCTGGGTGGAGGGTACCCTCGCAGTGGTGCTAGCCGATTCATCCATACTGACCCTTCTCGATTCATGTACACGACACCTCTTCGCCGTGCAGCTGTGTCTCGCCTTGGGAACATACCCCAGATTGATGTGAGTGAAAAAGGAAACAGCGATCTCGATATTTCCTCTGATATTGACGTTGGAGGTTACATGAGTGATGGGGATATTCTTGGGAAGAGCCTGCGAGCTGATGACATCAACAGTGGGTAAGTCTATATTTGTGTAGGCTGCATAATTAAATTATAAACGGCCCAGAGAGTGCTTTAAGCACTCTGAAGCAGTATATAAGCAGCACACTTTGCTTTTTGCTTTTATTTCTCAATCCAGAGCCATGCCAAACTCAAGGTGGAGTTAAATTTACCCCGATTTTGCCTAATATGTTCTATTTCATATTGATGTTCTCAACAATAAGCATGGTTCAAAATCATGGTTCAGAATCTCACATCATACTTTACGAGTTAAGTTATTCAGAACAGGGCCTTTCTTTGCCATGTTTATGTGGGACATTGTCCTCGAGGATATAGGAATGAGCCACCCTACTTGACTGATGGGCAGTGACTTTGTGGGCCACAGGTAGTGAAGATGTGCTTTAAATTCTCCTCTTTTACAAGATGGGTAGATTTGTTCTTGCTTGTGGGATAAGCCAAAAACCAAGAGAGGCCTGAATTGTGATTCTAACGCAAGGAAATAGTAGAGACAAAAGTTCTCTGTTCCTCGCTGTCTGCAGATGGCAGATGGATAAGCAAACAACATCCTTTTTTTCTTTATAATCTTTTAAAATTCCTTGATCTCTTTCTGTAAAAGTTTAATTGACAATTAAACTACACAAAATTAGAAAGAAAACAATGGAAATTCTGTTTATATTATATAAAAGTAATCCTACCCACAGGAGTAACAAATCGTAAGGATAATAATTGCCATAATGCCAGGATTGACTGAGCACCCTTGGAGGAGAAAAATCACTCTGTCTGGTACCCAATAGATGATGCTCTGCAAACTAGCCAAGTATTTCTGTGATTCATTTCATAGACAAGAGACAAGAAACTATCCTCTGAACCACTCTGAGAAAGTGTTTAAAAGAGGCTATCATGTGTTGAGTATAGCCAGAGACAGGATGGAAAAGCACTGGGGCATGGATTTTCTACACCTGCATGCCTGGCACAATCTGATTTGTAGATCTGAGTAGAAATCTTTTCTACAGGATTTTTTTATTGTGCACATTGTACCTGAATACATGAATCCCTGCGCTGATGGTATGGCATTATCTGTACAGAGTAGGTCCAATTTTTCTTTTTTGTTGTCTTCTCTGTCTGAGGAATGATTTGAAATTTGATTGTAAATGTCATATTTAAGCAGAAAAGATTTCTCTTGGCTACCTCACTACTTACATAGATGTCTTTAAAAATGTTTTATTTAGTTATTCAGAATGTGTCCGGCTAGTCTCTGAAATACATTTATTCATGAAAGAAAATCAGTCCCAAATCTTTTTTTCTCACTTGCTCAGAACATTTATACTGACATCATTATTCTAAAAAGTATGGAAGTATGGTGAGAAGTCCTGTATAAGAATTGGAAATGTATTATTCCCCTACAGCTAGCATTATTGGTAAGATTATGCTGCATTTCTCCCTAGTGTCTTAGATTATTTTTACATTCTTAAGACAGAACAAGAGACTGCATGAGATACAGAGTTCCTTCTTCATATATATTTATTTAAACATTTATATCTTGCCCTATATGTGGCAATCTCAAGACAAGGTACAGGCAGTAAGAAAAAAACTTTTTTCCTTAGAGGACTTATAAAACAATTTAAACTAATTCAACTGCTGAGCGAAACAGATCTTTGAACTCAGATCAACAACCCAGCACCTCAAAATGAATCTACAGTCATTTAGCCACCGAGTCAAGGTGGGGTAAACATTATTTATTTTAAATAAAATAAATTAAATTATTTGTCCCAGCTGTGTGCCATAGGGGAAAGTCTCTTCAAGAGATCTCAGTGCTTAGGCAGGTATTTTACGGACAGAGGCATCCCTTTAAATGTTGAGATCCCAAGTCAATTAGGGCTCTAAATGTCACTGCCATTCTGTGTAATTTGTTTTCTGTTCCTAGTGTCTGTTACCATACCATGGCTGAAATTCGGTTGCTTCAGCTAGAGTAACCTTCAGCTAGAACAGGCACATTGAATCAGTGGGCATTTGGTGAGAACTCCTTCATTAGTTCAATTGATTCAATGGGCCTCCTCTGGTTGCAACTTAAAGGGCATGTCTAGGCTGGCATTTGTTCCCATTTGGTGTATTGCTGGGATGGATAGGTCCACTCTTTCTTCTGATGTCCATGTAACAAGCGGACCAGTTTGCTCCAGGGCATCACAACCTGCACCTTTTTGAGCCCCTGCTAGGGGTTTCTGTGTTTTTGGTGTGGGTTGGTTTGCTCTAGTTTAGTCCATTCCCAGCATGTGTTATTGCTGGGAATGGATGGAAATCGAACCTTACAGCTGTCAAAACTTCCAAAGCTTCTTCCGTTTTGCATTTCCAGTATCATGAAGTGCTTATTAAACAAGCCATTTCAGGATATTGAACTCTTAAGAAAGCACAGAAAGACACACTATTTTTCCCCTTTCCTACTTTTTGTGTGGGGGGAAATTTGTCTTTGTATGCAATAAGAAAGCACAGAAAGACACACTATTTTTTTCCCTCTCCTACTTTTTGTGTGGGGGAAAATTTGTCTGTTGCATGCAGAGGAGAGGCAGAAAGGGGAGTGTGAGTGTAAGGTTAGAGTTAAGAGTCTTTTTACATGGACACAGAAATACTGTTGGGGAGGTCTCTTGCTCAGATGCACATACCAGTTCCTTTTTAATCTGCTTTACACTCTCCAAGCAATTCCTGATCACAGTAGATCCAACCATGTTTTTTCCACTGTCTAACTCCAGTATAGAGACCTGGTCAAGAATACTGGTCAGTGGCTTGTCATTTGTTGTGGCAACACAGCATTGTCAAAGGACCTCAAACACCTGAGGGAAATCAAATGAGAAAGGGGGAAACTAATATGGATATAGAAATGACCCATAAGCTTATACCAAACCCAATGCTGGGATGTATTAAAAAGGGAGGACAGTAGATAAGAAAAGTAACAAATTTGTATGAATTTTAAATAGAGATATTCAAAACATTTGATCCATTTATGACTGAATAGAAAATAAGTAAGTGGTCATCATTCATGCTGGCCCATCCAGTACGCCTGGCACCTACTAAGCAGAAAGATCTGCAATTCATCTGTTTGGGTTTTACTTGAAAATGAGAGCCCCGATAAAATAGGAGGCTGGAGGTTTCTACTCATGTTCAAAAGAGCATAGGGAGGTCCAATCAACTCATGTCCCTGTTTAGAATGGGAGGGGCGGGGGCTTTGGAGTTGGGAAATGTGCCTGCAGCACTATCCTTTTTGATGGGAGATCAAACACCCTATTCATGCTTAACATATGGATAAGGCCTCAGTGAAATTGAGTTATTTATGCAAGATTGAGCTGTCTGGTTCTAGATCCATTTTTGCCTCGAGAAAGACATTATTGGTTTCTTAAAAAACCATATGAAGTCATTATTGGTTTCTAAAAATCCAAATCTAACTTCTTGTTCAGTCATTGATTAGTTTTTGGATTTGTCCGTATGTAGTAAGATTGCAAGAGTATACAATGCATCATTGGAACGGTGTGGCTCTAAGTATCCATGTGTTGCTGCCTCCACCATCTCCTCCTCTACTCCTAAAATAGTCATCATGGCTTTACATTTCCTCTCTTTAAACCATGGTTTTCCAGCTGGTCCTGGTTGATGGACTCAGACCAAACCAAAGCAGAAGATCCTGCTATATTGAACTCTGTTGTTTCTTGATATTATATTCTAAACATATCTCAGCAACTGCATGGGTTTTGTAAAATATTTAAAATAATATGAGAACGCTCATTAATGCTGTCATTGAATATTAGTCACAATGACTAATACCTGTTAGTTCCTGGGGAACATGAATGACAAGATTCTGTTGCCTTCGTGTCCTGCTTGTGAGGTTCCCATAGGCTTTCTTGGATCACTGTAAGCATAGAATGCTACTTTAGATAAACTTTTCGTCTGATCCAACACAGCTCTTTATAGGTACCACATCAGATGTATGTGGTTTTTTTCTTGAGTATTTTGCTTGTGACATACTATGATTAAAACTTGACTTTTAAAATGTATTAATTAGTTTATCTCCTTGGAGAATAAATTAAACTGTCTTTTTTTACATCTGTAATGAGAATGGCTTAGTAAATAGAAGGAAAGAGCAGTGCTCTTGGCGTGAACATTTTTTAGTGCAGTTTCTGATTTGGTCTTTTAAATAAGAAAAAAAATGAATGAGTATTGAAAATTCATGTTTCATTCAGGCATGTCAAGTCTTATCTCTTTCGCTTTTTTCATTCCCATTTTAATTACTTTAAACACTTGGGGATGAGAACCCAGCAGTAATTAGGATTAAAGTGAGGCCTGTTTCATATATTCAACCTCTTACTAATGCATTTAGCCATATAAGAATCAAAACACCTTGAAGTCTAGGTTATGCTTTTCTCTTCATTTTCTCTAGTTTTTAGTTTTACAGAAATAGAAGCTACAGTTCCCGTTTTCCTTCTTCTGTGGAAAACACAATACAGTATAACTTGATGAAAGAATCTCATATTCCATGGAAAGCAAATTTAGCTCTTTTCCCCCCCCATCCAGCATGACCATGAGAATCTGGTGATTTCAGAGGTTATAGTAGATTCGTTGTTGTTTAAATAATTTTTTCAGACCCTGTTCAGGTTAGGCTCAGGATTCTGTGTGCATAGCGTATCCATTGTAACAGTCCTGTCTTTCATACCTACTCTCTTCATCTGATTTCTAAGTTCAGGGTATGTGGAGAAAACAGTATCCATTTCACTCCTGGTTTTTTTTTTCATGAGTCAATTGTTTCTGAGGGTCCATACAATAAATATCCAAATACCAAAACATGAAAAGTGAGTGAAGAGTCTATGGTTGCTAATCTCTTATTTGTTTCTTATGAATCTAATGTCCCTAAGTTAATGCAGAGAGTTGTCAGTGACCTCTTATTTTGTGGCTATAAAGCATTCCATGGACACCTGTGATGATTAAATACACACCTCACATGCCCTAACCCAAAATATACATTGGTGTTGTAACCTTACACGCAAACATTAAATGCATTTACAGGGCATGAATAAACCATTTGCCCAGGAAAAGGTTCTGATTGATACGAAGCTGCCTTAAAGCACGCTAGACTCCTGGTCCATCTTACTCACTACTGTGTACACTGATTGGCAGAGGCACTTCATGGTTTTAGACCAAAGCTGAAGATGCCAGGGATCAAACCTGCTGCATACAAATCATATGCTCTGTATGCAACATGTGAACTGGTATGTGCAATGTAGTCTTTTGCTTACCAATATTCTATACAGATCAGGCCTTAACAAATATAGGAAGTTAGTACAGTTAATGTGACACTTCTTGTTTCTTGGGTGGGGTGGAAGGTTGCCATAGTAATTTGTTGTAGCAGAAACAAGAGATACTTTTATGGCATTTTAATGGTTAACATTTGACACAACTCCGGGAGGCAGTGGAAAACAGGAGGGCCTGGCGTGCTCTGGTCCATGGGGTCACGAAGAGTCGGACATGACTGACTAAACGAACGAATGAATGGTTAACAAGGTTTATTTGGCATTACTGGTTTTCATGGATTGCAGTCAACTTTATCAGCTCTAGGTCATCTGATGAAAGGGGCAGTAGTTCCTAAGTTGTTAGTCTTCATGTTACCATAAGATGCTTTCTTGTTTTTATCTCTGTGCCTATCTTCAAATGAACGAAGAGCAGTCTCTTAACTTTTTCCCCAAGCCCTGCTCAGTCATTTTGTCATTTTGAGTATAAATAAAATGAATACAGTACTTAATGTTGGGTGTGTGTGCATGCTGGCCTCCCTCCATCCACTGTCATGTCTACTGTTGTCTAAACAGGGAAGTTGACTATGAGAGGAGGGGGATTGATTGTAAAAGGAACTTGTCCTCCATCTATGGACATGCTCCTTTGCATTTTGTACGTACCACTTGGCATTGCATGGAGGGTCTTCACAGGATGGACGAAGCCTGAGCTGGTATAACCCATATTTTTCCCTCCAGGTTACTTACCACCTCTTCATTAGTAGGGAGAATAGCCATTTCCTACTACACTGTTTAGCTGATTAAAATCACATCCCAAGCCTATGGGGGAAAAAACATACAAGTACCTGTATCAGATATATTAGCAACTTGAAGAAGCAGGAAAGGGATTTTCCATCACTACAGGCTGATCTTTTGAAGTGGACATGCCATGGATTAGACATGGGGCCTCATGTATGCAAAATATGTGGCCTACACATATTTTGTATCCGCGTATACAAAACGTGGCTTACACATATTTTGTATATTTCATAATCCTGTGTACCAAAATAGTCCTAACATTTTTAAAACCATGGAAGAATCTATTGCATTATGTCTAGTTTGGCACTTAGTGAGGTGCACACTGACAGGTTTGTGAAACCACGCCTTGAACTGTAAATTCTACAGAACTGAAACTTCATCTTTTTCTTTGGCTCTGTCACAGTTCTATGTTGACTTAGCACAGGATATTCAAAGCACCATATGGTGGCATTTTCTTCAGATATGTTGTATTTTTATTTTCAGATACATGACAGATGGAGGGCTCAACCTGTACACCAGAAGCTTGAACCGAATACCAGACGTAGCTGCCTCCCGAGATGTTATTCAACGGGGAGTTCATGATGTGACTGTGGATGCAGATAGGTAACACCTCTTTTTTCCTGTTGTTATAACAGAATTTTTAGAAAGATAGTAAAGTTGCCTAAAGCAAGGTCTAACATTTTCCTATCAATGGACTAACAACAAGCAGCTTTGGTAAACTTTTAAGTGTATTATAGGGTTCTGTGTGTTTTGGAAAAAGTCACAGAACCCAGCCCACATCCACGCCCCAAATGGCTACTGGTCATGCTAACTGGGGGGCTGTGACTACAATTGTAGTCAACTAATCATGTTGGCTGTAGAATTCTGGGGGTTCAGTTCAAATAAGCAGCTTTTCCAACTTTAGTTAGTAAATTAGGACAAAAAAAGGAGAATTCAAGTCAGACTTACTAGTTAGAATGCTCATACTCTTTGTTCTTGAAATGGTCATGTAGGAAAGCAAGTGTATGATGATGCCTCAACACAGCCTCTTGTTTTAGCATACAGAAGACTGCAGGAACCAAGAGACTGGGGAAAAATTGATTTGCCATTTAGTATAACAATTTGATTTTTATCCTGAGGTATAAAGAAATGTGATGTTAGAAGACAGACCAGTTGCATAATAACAATGTACAGTGTTGGTACTTGGATTAAATATGTGTTTATGAAAGTGATCAGTGAAAAATTGTTGTTTCAGCAGAACTGAATCTGAAGAAGTTGTTGCTTGTACAATTCATTTTATTTTGAACTATGGGTACGTGAGATATAGGGTGGTTGCACTGTCATGATGCCCACCGGCCGATTTGAAAATTGGAACTTTATCATCAAGATTGAACATGACTCTCTGCTTCTGGTTTTGGCCCTCCCCAAGTTCCTGTGCTATTTGTGATCGCACAGTGGATTGGGCAGTTGTCTGAGGTTCAGTTCAGACTAATCAGCTAGGTTTCTGAGCCCAGGTCTCAGGTAATAGAATAGTTCATGATTTTATTTTAATATTGTAAGTCTTGATTCCACTATTACTGCTTCTGGTTTTGAACTCCATATTGATGTCTGATTTAACATATGAACTTTAGTAGCAGTATCATGTTTTTTTTAAATCCCTGTTAACTAAAGAATGAACTGCAAGCTCAAGAGTAGTGGTGACAAATCTATTAGGAGCAGAGAAGTTTAAAGGGTATTATGTGAACAGTGAAGTCACATTCTTATGGAGTAGATTCCCCCTGCCCTTTTAATATATTTTGTGTTTCCCACTGAAAGGAATGAGATTTTGTGTTTAAGTCCTGCCTTTCTGTTTCCTAAATGTTATCTGCCTGCCCAGGCTTCACTGCTGGCCATCTGTGTCTCATCATTTCCCCCGAGTCCTTGATAATTAATGAGAGAGCAGTTGCTGTACTGTCTACTTGCTTAAAAACTGGCCATTTGCTTTAGTTGCTTCAGGATCTCTAACAGCTGTGAATACAATGGATACATTTTAGTAAAATTCAGACAATGGCAGTAAATTATTCAAAAGGTAAAAAGTGGAAAGGTAAATGCATACATTAAATTAATCATTACATGGAAATGTGCATGTGTGTCTTCCGAAGGATGTGTTTCTGTAATCCTTGACATTCAGCCTTCATTGCTGGAGTAACCACTGAAGGAAAAGTTGGGATGGAAAGAAAGCTCCTTACTTTTCCCAGTAGAATGCATATAGGGTTGCCAGGGCCAAATATGACATTAGAAGTTGCCCCCCGCACCCGAAGAAGAAGAAGAAGAAGAAGAAGAAGAAGAAGAAGAAGAAGAAGAAGTCAAAATGCACCAGACAGTTGTGAGGTGATAGAAGGGACAGAACTTGTTTAATGTTTTGCTACTCCCAAATAGCTGACGAGCAGGATCTACATTAACCAAGAAAAGGGAAAGAAAAAAAAGAAAGAAAGAAGGGAAGGAAGGGGGCTTGACCTTAAAAGACAAGCTGAAGCAGTGTACATGTATCATGTATACAGTGACTTTAATATATGTGCATACATCTGAAATTTCCAGATCATAGTGTCCTGCTACACTCCTGATTTTAAGCCATGTACATGTTCAGGACACCCAGTGTGGTGTAGTGGACAGAGTGATGGATTAGGACTCAGCAGACCTGGGTTTGAATCCTTGCTCAGCCATGAAAAATCACTAGGGGGTGTGGAACTGGTAAAACGACTCCTTAAATATATATCACTTACCATGAATGCCCATTAGGATCTCCATAAATTGTTTCCGACTTTAAGACACATGACAAAAATATATTGTTTGGGTGATGAACAATTAAATAACAACCTAGATTTCATGCACTGCAACACCAAAGTTTCAACAAAAACATTGTTAATGACTCTTCTGCTTTCAAGTACTATAGCTATACAATTGCTTTTATTGTTATTGCTTTATTTATCAGCTTTAAGCCATTATTTTTTTCTAACATCTGTTACTCTCACAAGAATTGTGTGCATTATTTTCAAGTTAGTTTTCATTTTGAATATCCCGTGCTAAGTCTTGATTTCTTTTAGCATCTATTATGCTGTATTGTGCATTATGCTGCAAAAAAATCTGTTCCAGATAAATCTGTTCTAAGTATTTCATATTTTGGGCTTTTAAAAATTGCTTACTTAAATTAACGTATGAGACCATACCATGATATAGCAGTATATGAAAGGGTTATGTAACAGTGCCCTTACACTTAAGGCAAGTTGGAGAAAGAAAAAGATTCCATCACTATGGGCTTCAACCTCTTATTTCTTGTATAAATGACAAATTGCAGCTATAAAGTTGAAAATTAGTATCTAGTTTGTAAAATTGTACATTTTTATTACTAATCACAGGGCACATCTGTTAAGGCATCAACATTTCCATTTCTTTGGTTTAGTAGAATTTGGGCTAGTGTGAGATAATTTAGGCCCCAAGTTATGGCTATCAGCTTTTAATCTGAAATATGTATATGACTTTACATATTTTGGGGTTTAACCATTCTGCAAGTAATTTGCATTCAGTCCAAATTAAAATGATTGCTATAAAGTATATATATATATATTAGCATGCCATGTATATTTTTCATTGCCTATTAATTATCTCAGCAATGTTAGTCTTGAAGCAAAATTTATTTCTTACTCTTTTGTGGATAACAGAATTATCCACCCTCCTTCCCCTTCATTTCAGCTTTTAGAACACTGACTACAACTGAAAAAGCTGCCAAAGAGTTGTTTCTCAAATCAGTGCCAGATTTGTGAGCCAAAAAAAGCTACAGCTTCCTGTCTTAAATATCTTAATAGCATCTCCTATTCACGAAGCACTACTACTCCCCAACTCCCCCGAAGTGTCTCATCATGCCTGAGAAGTGATATTTTTTTCTTTCCCAACTTTTCCTGTTTTAGCTGTGAGGGAATGAAGGTACAATGGTTACATTAAAGGGCATAGTCAGCTGAGCAATATAGTGTGCTTTCAGACAAGAAATGGGTGGATTATCCAAACAGCATTGTCTCACATTTGTTAAACCCCGCCCCCCCCACAGAGTTAAGGCCAGAAAGATGGAAAAGCTAGATGGTTTAGAGATGAAGACTCCAAAGATACAGTCATTAGAATGGAACTCTCTTAGAAATCAAAGTCATTTATTTAATCTAATACAATATTTCTAAGCGCCTCGAGTAGTAAATTAGCTTGATTGTCTTTTGTGATTGGTTATCAGGCTTGATTTGTAAGTTTGATTGCTCAAAAGGAATATGGCTTCCTAATTTTTTTGGACAACAGGTCCTTAATTCTCCATTCTGGGAGATCTACCAGACAGACATGTTACCTTAATGTTGTTTATCTGGGAGAACGACCTAAACTGGAAGGCTAGCAAGGCCTATCTCCGCTTCTTATTCCTGCCCCAGTACTATATGGGAGTTTTCTTTCTGAACAGGAAGCTAGATGGAACTAGATCTATCTAGCACTCAAAGCTTTCTAATTTAGGCCTTTCTCCCAGGTGATCCACATTTAAGAGTCTATAAGGTGTCTTCTGTCAGGTAGAAGTCAGGTAGAATGGAGAATTTGTTGCAAAGTTTTGAGTTGCTGGTAAAATTCTCTTATGTAGTAGAAATACAGAGATCCACAGAGTAGAATAGCTACAGGTACACCCCTTTCTTGCACTTAAAGTCTCAGTCATTCACTATGAGACATTTGTAAGAGAAAGACTAAAAACATTTATTTATGTACTGTTGCTTGAAATTACAGACTTGTGAATGCTAATTTTTTAATGCACATACAGTTAGCAAATGACTGAAAAGATCAACAGCAAACAAACAACTGCCTCCAACAGTCAAAAGATTGTTAAGTATAAAAATATTTTCACAGCAAATGAATTGTAATAGTAGAAGGTGAAAACAAAGAAACATTAAAAAGAGATGCTTATAGGTTAGCAGTGGCAGTACTTTCTGTTTCCCGAATTCTAATCTTGAGAAATTAAGGATGTTAACACTGAATATACATACATGTCTTCCTCAGCAAGAATGGCTGACACGTTTAGAGTCCTTGTCATAAAAGTTGAACTGGAGTGAGATTTTCCAAAGAAAGAGTAGGACTCTCTTTGACAGTAGCAGCATAGTAATAATTATAAAAACATTGTGTTTTGTTCAAAAAATACAGAACCCCTTGTATTGTGTGCAGAGCCTTATCTTTTAAACATAAATATTCATTGTATTGTTAGGTTTGCTATGCCAACACAAGTTTATAAAATGCAAGTGTTGGGGGGGGGTTGCACAAAAACTGTTATCATTCAATTTTTGCAAAAAAGGCCCCATCTGAGAAAAATCACCAAAAACTCATAATCTCACCCAGTGGGGTGACAATTTTTGAAAATTTTCATTCTCACCAGTGCACAAGAAGTAAGTATCAGAGACTTGATGCTACAAAAATTTCTAGACATACCCATCCAGATTATTTCTTTGTTTCTTCCTTCACTTCCATATTTTCTTTTAAATTATCAATTATTTGCTTGAATGTTGAATTTTAACTTCCTTTTAATTTTGATTATCCTCATTTAGGTGAGGTTTAGATGAATTAGGCTCATTTGTAGC